ATCATTTTTCGACTGAATTGACTTTTATGTTTTCCTCCGTGTTGTCTCATCTCATCAGACAGATTGTTCAGCCAGTTTACTGTTGATAAGGCTTTGTGTACACCTTTTCACGAGAAAACTAATAGAGCGTATTTGTTTTACCGGTACCGGTTTTTGTTTTGTTTTAAGTCCAACAAGGAAATAAGTTTAAAACTTATCTTCTCGCCCATTACGATTTCGCACGGAAAATAGGATAAAAGAGGGAATAGCTTTTATTTTGTCGCGCTATAACTATAGGGCTCCATTGAACAAAAAAAAGTGTTACGTTGCAACTGATAAAGGTGATATGAAACGAGACTATATTAACGAAACCTAATAGTTACTTATAGTTAAAGTTAACCAAAACTTCAGAAACTAGAGCCCCGAGAGCCAAGAGCCTGTTGTTTTGGTCAGAGGAGTTGCTAGGCAACGGCAAGCTGATGACCGGTAGTATCTCTAGTGACCCTTTCATTCTCGACTGGTTTTTTTTTTTCGAAAGTTTACTTAAAACGACATTTGTCTTAGTTTCGCAGACGCTCCACGTCACTTAATCTAAAGTGCTGTATGCTAAACCACTATTAGTTAGGAAATAGCGCTATGTCACAGACCAGCAGTAACTTCGCCTTTTCCCGATTTTGGCGGGAAACGTTGCCAGGATACTCCCGCGTTTTTTCGCATTCCACGAGGGTGGGCAGAAAGTACATGAGGAACCTGTTGACTTGTGGGTAGCATCGTTTATGGCTCAGTGAGCATGGCGCTCAGAAGATTATCAAACATTTATTGCCCTGCATGAGACCAATAGATTAACTTTAGCTGTAAGAAAAGTCTTGTTTTAATCATACGATTATTTAAAGGAAACACTTTAATTAAAGGATGTCTGAAATATATTGCCCTGTTCATTCAAAGAATCTTTCATATTTCTGTCTCACTTTGTTAGTAACAACATTAAACATCTGCATACCGGCAGGAAATAAGTATATATATATTATCTCAAGAGGATTTTGAATGCAGTTTGAAGATAAAGTAATACATTTTCACGGCGTAGGCGTTGTCAGTGATTGAAAGGAAGCTAAAAGCTGTTTGACTGGCCCACCCAGAAACGTCAATTCAAATTAAAGCTTGTTTTCCTCTTTCCACTTACATAAATCGAAAACAAATCCGTTCTTCGGAACCCATTACATCACATACTACCGCTTAGCCAATCAGAAGGCCAGACACTGCATGAATTCAACCTGCTAGGTCCTTTGACGACTCTACTGGCTTCTTGACAAACGAAATATTGGAGAGAGGGGCCTGTTTTGTAAGCTGCGTACTGCTTTTTGATGTAATACTCGAAGGAAATCCCCGCAATGGGATCCGTGCCGGTGAATAAAATCACTGATCATTACGAACTAACCTGTGGGATCTGCAATGAGACTTACAAGAACCCCAAGGTTTTACCATGTCTTCATTCCTTTTGTCAAAACTGTCTGGATTCTAACATACGGTAAGAACTAATATCTTGAGTATATATAACTTCAAGAAATTAATTTATTTTCTATTTCTGCGTATTTCACAACATAAATGACACTTTAAAATAAGTTCAAAACGTCTTTTTATAGCTTATCAGGTTGGTTCATGTCATCGCTTTCCTATTTGAAAGTTGATTGTTTATTAAAACAGCTAAACATTTTTATATAACATCAGCGATACCGTGCTTTTTCCGATTAAAGCTTTGCGTAATTGACCAAGGTAAATAAAGGTAATTAAGTTAAGAAAGAGCAGAAGATTGAATTAAATTTGAAATTGTAGGTAAAAGATCAAACGTTGTTTTGAATATTTAAAGATTAAAAGTTATCAGTGATCCAACAGGTACCAGGGAGCTCCGGTTTTAAACACATGATCTAAACAACAACATAGTGGAGTTCGATTCCATAAGCCTCGATTGAAGCCCAGTAACATTTAAGTTCGCCTCTCCAACCTTAAGTAAAAATGTCAACTGTGAAAATGTAATACAATTTTGTGAGTTGCCTGTCACACCCACTCTACTGTTTTTGACGGTAAACATCGTGCTCGCAAATCTTAGTCACATAGTCTAGCAATTCGTTTTCGTAAGCAAAACAAGAATAAAAATCCCCCATTTTCATGACATCGTAATTCATAATTGGTTTAGCGTCTACCACACCAAAGACAAGCAAGGGCAAAGATCCCTTCGTCTTCATTAGAATGGCAAAAAAAAAAAAAAAAAAAAAGCATTGCTCGAGCAGTCGAATGGAACTAGAGCTAGAGTTTGGTTTAATTTTGGTTAATTAAACACAGATCATAATATTTCCCTCTTTTAATATTTTGTATTAAAGCAGTATGGTTAGAGGCTTAAGATTGTGTAAGACTTTTAATTTTAGTATCAATGCTCTATATGCCGGCCAGAGTATTATTCGTGAAGGGAATAGTGGAAAAGATATGACGTAATGCTGAAGACCTTTCCACACCAGTGGGTCCGTTACATGAAGCAAAGTGTTATGTTCAACCCGCTCATCAGCTCTCATCAGCCTGCCTCAAGAATAGCCCCCTTGCCTACCCCCCTACCCCCACCCCCCTACCCCCACCCCCCACCGCGCGATCCCTTCGTGTATTTTCCCGAGCCCTCTTTACAAGACAATTGGGCAGGACGCTTCTTTATTATTCGTTAGTGTTGTTATACTCTTTTGTTTTATAAGGAGAACGTTGAATAATAGGATCTAGAACTTTGTCTTATTTTCCTGCAATTTGGCCTTTTTCTAATATCTGGTTGGCTTAATTATGGACTTCCTAAGAAACCTGATTTATTGACTGATAATTATGTTGCATAGCATTTTAAAACCTAATATGTTACTCAAAAATGTCAGAATTTTTCACAGTGGAGACAACGAAAATGTATTTTTACTTCTAGACCTCAAGACCGAACTCTAGTTTGCTCAAGATGTCATCTGGTTGTGCCAGTTCCCGCCAAAGGTATCGAGGCGTTTCCGCTCAACTTCTTCATCAACAACATGCTGACAGTTTTAGCAGTTCAGAACCCAACAAAATGCACTAACTGTGAGGATAGTTCCCAGGCCACTGCGCGCTGTTTGGACTGTGTGGAGAACCTCTGTACAAACTGTGTGTTTGCTCACAAGAGAATTCGCCAGACCAAGGACCACAGGATCTTGACGTTTGAAGAAATTCAGGCCAACGAAGTCAAGGACATCATTCGTTGCCCGTCATTCTGCTCGGTGCATCCTCGAGAGGTATTAAAAAAAGGAAAAAAAATCTAATTTAATCTAATCTAATCTAATTTTTGCAAGAATTTTCTATCCACAATTCTCGTATTTGTCAAATATTTGCATTTAATCATGTTAGGTACTCAAGTACTTCTGTGAGACATGTGATGAAGCGATATGCCGCGACTGCGCTATCTACGAACACAGGGAACACATCTACGTGGATCTGAAAGAAGCTGTTAAGAAATACCGTTCCTCCATTACGGCCCTTCAAGACAGAACCAAGCGTAAGATTCCAGTCTTGCGAGCAGCTGTGGAGGAGGTGCATGACGTCACGCGAGATTTAAGAGAGAGGGTGGAGGTCGTGCGTGACACCATTCATAACACCATCCAAAATCACATCCAGGAGTTACAGGAGCAGGAACGAGAACTTATTGACCAGCTGGAAAGCATATCTAACTCCAAAGAGAAGGTGAGATACTGTAGCAGTCCGCAGGGAGCTGTTATGTCATAGCTAGAGCGCTCTTTCTACTGTCATAAAACAAAGTAACTGGCGAAAAACGTAGAAATATTAGCCAGCTACAGTTTACTGAGATTTTCACATGATGTTATAGCTATTGAATTTAATTGACATCCCCTTGCAGGTTTTAACCTCTCAACAGAAAATACTGGAACTTGATCTGTCTAACCTGCTGAGTAGCTGCGACTTCACCGAGAATGTGCTCAGATACGGAAACGAGGCTGAGATTATGCTGGTGAAGCCGCAAATGGTCAGCAGACTACAGAATCTGAATGAGCACGAGTCACAGTGTGAGCCAGAGGACAACGAGGTAATAAATATAGTCACTCTTCAAATGCCGGCTCTATGGTTTCCTGTTTTTGTCGTAATCGGTCAACGAGTTCTTAATTCATCTAGCAAACCATAGAAGTCTTCTAATTAGAGACTTTTTTCCTTGAGAGCGCTGACTGTTAAATAGTTTTATTCCTCCAATAGTTCCGGTTTACGCTCTCAAATTAATAAAAGGCACCATTAAATTACATGATCATCTGGTCTGTAATTTGTTGAATTAAGATGAATTCAACTTTTTTTGATCTGATTCTCTTTATTTTTTCTCCGACCTTACCGTGAGGAACAGTTTACGGTCTTCATGAACTTAGTACTTGATGTCAAGACAAAACTTCATTGCATGTGTATAACAAAAGGAAAAAATCGCATTTTTAGTTTTTTCTCTCACCTTTCTTCTACTTGTCCTTGAGTTGCCAATTTATTCATTTGCTCTATCCCAAACTCCAAACCAAAATTCAAAAATCTACTGTCTTCCTGTAGGTTGTTGAGTTCTCTTCTAATGACGAGCAGCTTTCTAAAGTTATAGCCAAACTTGGTCAAGTGACCACCAGTGACGTATTTCCTATGCTGTCATGCGCAGAGGGACCTGGGTTGAGTCGAGCAAAGGTTGGACACAAATCAACTTTCACAGTCATTACCAAAGATAGAAACGGCGAGCCATGTACCAGTGGTAAGCACATGAATACAAGAACCTCTAGAAATTCTCTCTGTTGTTCACAATACAGTAAAAATGGAGATCTTTGTGGTCAGTCAGTGACAACCTCAAAACGTCTTGGACTCCAAGCTGGTTCGTACACTTCCCCTCTCCCTCCTTCATGATCCAGCCAGAGAACCCATAATATGTTTCTTCACTCTCTGTAGGAGGAGACTTGGTGTCAGTCAAACTTCACTGTCCAAACGGTTCACCAATCACAGCTGACGTAGAAGACAATGATGATGGCACTTACACAGCTTCCTTCACCCCAGTTTCCAAGGGAGATCACCAGATCACGGTACATGTCCGTGGTAAACCTATTCAAGGAAGTTCTTTTGACTTACAGGTTTGGCCTTGTTCAGTTATGTTTCTATGTAGTACATTACGTCCACAGTAGCTTCTATAATTTCCCAGGAAATTTGCTAAGATTACAGCGATGCTGAATACAGCTAATGTATGTTATTCGGTAATAAACGGGGGAATTATACCGTTAAACGAGCGCGTATGGTTCAGGCCAGATTTAATCAAAGAGCCATTTTTCCAAATCTTAAGAAGGTGCAAAGGTTTTAAATTTCTATAAACTACTTGACAAATATCAGATACCATTTTAGGATTCTTTTTTCGTCACTTTTTCTGAATACTTGAAAAGTTTACCTCTTCTAGATCTCTGGTGCGCTTTTATCATTTTCAAGCTTTTCATGTCACAAATTAAAGAGAACGGGCAAAGTGTATAATCGCAATGCTGCTTATACTCTCAGGTGACTGCAGGTATAGACTGCGCCAATATTGGTCCAATGATGTTGAAGTTCACTCCAACCTGCAAAAACACCAATGACGAGTACTTCGAGCCTTGGGGAGTGACTGCTGACCCTGATGGACTGTTTGTGGTCTCAGACCATCACAATCACCGTCTTCAGGTTGGTTTGTCAAAGTCTGATGTAGTGACCGTCAAGGTCTCAGCGATTCCTACAGTGAACGATGGAGGTTAAAAAACAACGGTTAATATGTCGCCATATAATTGGAACTAGCTGGTTGTTTATCATCCAAATCATTGACTAATCATACTAATGTTTCTATTAGGTTTTTGACAATAGTGGCCACCTTCTGTACCAGTTTGGCACACGGGGTAAAGCCGACGGCGAAATCTGGTACCCAGCTGGAGTGTGTGTGGACAAAAGTGGCCACATTTACGTAGCGGATCATGGCAATCATAGAATTCAAGTAAGTTAATTCTGGACATTTCTTTGAAATAGCCGTAGCACAAGTTGTAAATATAGTGATATGTGCTTAAAGCTTAGACTGTAGATTTCTGTTCTTTTTTACTCACAACACTTATCGTGACTTAAAAATCCAACTCAACATAGATCGCTATAAAGCCAGCAGCTTGTCTGGCTTGTTTGGAATCACCTTGTTATTTTGTTCCCTGTAGGTTTTCACTCACGAGGGACAGTTCCTAAGAAAATTTGGTTCTAAAGGCAACGGTCTAGGACAACTAAAAGGTCCTTGTGGCCTCGCTCTAGACTCGGAAGGTCGGGTCATAGTCGCCGAGCGCGACAATCACCGAATACACATCTTTGACAACGATGGCCAAGCGACCATGCACTTCGGCGTGTATGGAGAAGCTGAAGGGAAATTTAACTGCCCTCGCCACGTCGCCATTGACCAAGATGACAACATTTTAGTCTCGGATTCAGGGAATTCCCGTGTGCAAGTGTTTGACAAAACAGGGCAGTTTTTGGAAAGGATTGGAGAAAAAGGCAACAGTAACGGCCAGTTCAATTGCCCCGCAGGGATTGCGATAGATTCCGAGGGACACATCGCGGTGGCCGACTTGAAGAACCTAAACGTGCAGATTTTTGACTGGGATGGTGTTTTTGTAAAGAAACTTGGTGACGCGGAGACAAAGAATGCGAGTGGCTTTGGCAAGCCGACAGGCATTGCTGTCACAGGAAATGGAAACGTTGTTGTAGCAGACAGAGGACATCATTGTGTTCAAGTGTTTTAATAGGACAGTCAGACAGTATTGCTTAAAAGTATTTGAAACCAAGTCTAGGAATTGCATGGAAACAGACGATTACATGTCCACAAAATATGTTTGTAGTTCAGCCTAGATGTGATGTCCTACGGTTTTTTAGCAACTGTCCCAAGATTCTACTGAACGAAGTGCTTTATTGCAAAGAAAATGAGTGCTAATCTTCAACATCGCAATAAAATTAGAAAAACAACTAAGTGTCTGTAAGAGACTTCAGCAAGTAAAATGTTACTCTTACTTTCAGTTTTCAGCTTCCTTGACTGTTTTTACGTTTTAATTCAATATTATTTCTCTATTTTCCTCCGCTATTTTCTTCATTCTTTATCTCTAGATATGCATGTATCTGAGCGTTGCCAGAGTTACTGACATAAACGGACTGTAACATTAAAAACTCTATTGCTATATATGCCGTAGCTGAAATGTAACCCAACTGTAAATAAAGTCAGGTTCCATGGACTGAAAATTGTAAATGGATGATAGACCGGCCATGATAAATTAAGTAAGTAAGTAAAACCTTTATTAAGTGTCTGTGTTTAGCCTAGATAGACTAATTGGGGACACTAGTAAAATAACAACACTAGTTGACATACGGTACTTATAATTAAAGATACATGCACTTATGAAGATTAATTCCTGACTTCCTCTGCTGAATAACAGAGATTCCAAGTACCTGAACAAACTCTGGACACGGAGCAGCGAGATGTTCCTTGGAATCCCTAAAAAATATATCCTCCAAAATTTTCCACTCTGTTGGTTCTGTGAGCCTGACTTAAGATTAATGAATGCCTTTCACACCCAAATCTTTCTCTTCTCGTTTTACACAAAGAAATATAACAAACCCTAGATTTCCCTGCTCGGCTTTTTCATAGCACCACACTGACAAGTAGCCTCGCAATATGAACAACATATATACAACCGTTATGGTAAGTATAAACACAGTACACTATACGAGATCAATTGTTCCCAAACTGTGGTGAAGTATGCGAAATGAAAGCAAGAACGCGAAAATATGCTTGGGCTGAAATTAAATGCAAAATTGTTGGCCCACTTACCACCCCTTAAAAATCCAAATACCTCACCAAACATCTTTCAACTTTTCTTTCTATCTTCATTCAGTCTGTACCTGTAAGTACATTCTAGTTACCATTTCATCAGTAGAACAAGGGATCCACTGTAATTGCCGAGGCTGCAGCGGTCTCCCTGCCTGACAAAAAATTTATGTGTCTAAGTATTTTAGTTAGGCGAAGTTGAATAAATTTAAATCAGTGTATAACAGAATGTGGAAAGTTAAAAGTCTCTTTTCACCGTGATGGGAAGAATGCAATGGACATTTCAATTTCCATGCATGTTGGCATGGGCGTACGAGATGAGGGGGGGAGGGGAGGGAGCGAGGGGAGCTGCAGCGCCCCCAGCCACGGAAATTACGTAATTTTTCGGGCAATACGGTCATGACTGGGGCAGCGACACTTGATAGAAAACATTTCAAAATAATGCTGTTGGCGTGATTTCTAAAACTCGTAAAAAAAAAGGTTTTACTTTTTCATGAATCTCTGTGTGATTAGGCGTCCGACCAGGAGTCTGTAGTCCGTCAAGTGACCTGAGGTTTTTGTTAACTACAAGTCGTTTAATTAACAAATGGTAAACGCCATAGCGTG